AAATGCCAATATTATTAGGCTAACTTAGATTTCTACACAGTAAACAATAAAACAAGACAGCAGTCAGCAAAGATGTGATTTGTGAACTGATACACACACACACACACACACACACACACACACGCAAACTAGTAAGATATAACTAGCCCTATAGATACTGTGTACCACAGGAGTCTCAGGGCCAGAGACTCACAATGCCAGTGTCTAAGAACAAGAGAAAATGGACACTCCAGCTCAAACAAAGGTAGCATTCATCCTCCTGGACCTCTCCCTGAACCTCTAATACTGCATGATGTCTATCTACACTGGGAAGGGTGTCCTATCTGTGGACAACTGCTGTATCTGCTAATTAATGCTTTATCAGCTTTGTGGGCTAACTTGGCTAACTTAGCCTACTCACACTGACATGGAACGTAAACCAAAACAGTCCAGGAAATCCAGGAGAGTCGAAAACCCAAGTACTGTCATATACCGTGCTGGCAGGCTATTTTGTCTTACCCAGGAATTACACATTAACATGTATTTTTAAGTCATCCTTTGTCCCCTGGTGGTGCATGTCCCAGTTTTCACAGGATCAGGACCATGACCCAAGCATTCTGTAGCTGAGCACCTGGGAAGTGCAGACCAGCTCCTGCTTAGCCACAAGTCACAATGCATACTTCATAATGCATTTGGTACTCTCTTCTTTTGACCTTGTGTAGACAGAAGTTTCTGTCCTACTCCATCCTGTAGCCATACAATCCCAAATAAACACACAGAGGCTTACATTAACTATAAACGGTTTGGCCTGTTACTTAGGCTTATTACTGACTAGCTATTACAACTAAAATTAGCCCACAATTCTTTTTTTGGGAGGGAGGGGTGTTGAGACAGGGTTTCTCTGTGTAGCTTTGGAGCCTGTCCTGACACTTGCTCTGTAAACCAGGCTGGCCTTGAACTCACAGAGATCCGCCTGCCTGTGCCTCCAGAGTGCTGGATTTAAAGGCATGTGCCACCAACGCCCAGATCCCATAACTCTTATCTATGTTTAGCCACAGGGCTTGGTACCTTTTCTCAGCAGGCATTCAGATCTTGCTTCCTCTGCATCTGGCTGGTGACTGTGTCTCTGCCTTTCCTCTTGCCAAAATTCTCTTAGTCTGGTTCAAAGTCATTAACTATTTTCCATTTATCATGGATATAAAATTTAACCTTGTCTTTTATTTTGCCAGTAATGTTACAAATTCAGACAAGTGCTTCAATCTCCTGATTGCATCTCTGCAGATAAGAAGAGACTATGTTCTGAATTGTGATCTAGAGCTAGCAGATAAGTACAGAGACCAATGCTGGCTGTGGCAATGCTGATAAATAGTTCATGAATTGCAGGTCATGAAGATTCAAGGTCAACCAGGCTATGGTCTTGCTCTGGTTTCAACCTTCAGCACTATAACCAACCAAACAATAAGTACTAAGGGTATCATACTTCTGTAATCCCAAAATTAGAAGGCTGAGGTAAGACTGTGATGAGTCTGAGGTCTGCCTGTGCTACATTGTGAGTTCTAGGATAGCCTGGTCTATAGGCAGAGCCTCTGTCTCTGCAAACAACCAGACTCTCCCACAAAATAACAACAAAACCAAAGACAAATGGCACTCTCATCCACACCATGAATTCATAAATACAGGAATTACCATTGATATTGTAGTAAGAAAGAACACATGAAGAGGAGACAAACTCTTTTCTGAAATTATGGGCGAAGTCACTGGGATTCAGTATGACTTTGACTTATATCTAATTATGACAAAAGTTTTCCTGCACATTTCCAGGAAACAAACAAAAAAATGTTAACCTTTCTATAGATACATAAAAATAATCATAACCTTGTTTTCAACTTCTCCCTATTTCTATCTGCAAACCCCAAATTTCTGGTTCTTTAAAGCCTTGAATTCCACTTATTCCTACAGGGTCTGTAATTTGTGATGGAAAAAATCTAAGAAGTCTAAGAGAACAGTGATTTTCCTGACAACAACACCAGCTGAAAAAACATTTTGATAATCATTAAATATGAGATGTTAAAGTCTCTAGGTATTAAAAAATACAGAACTAGCAAGGTACATGCCTACAACTCCAGTAATGTGAGGCAGAAATAAAAGTATGGTCACAGGTTCTATCCTGGCCTATATAGAGAGTCCCAAGGTAGACATGGCTATCTAATGAGAATTTTATTCTGAACAAAAAAATATGAGAGAAAAGAAATACAGAAATATATTAAGTATATGTGTATATATATATATATAAACATATACACATGTGAGTTATTTTATTTCATGATAAACTCTGGTCCAGTTTTGGATTAATATTTCATATAGAACCACTAGTAAATGTATTTGGAAGATTTGACTATTATTCTTACAAAGTTAAGAGCATGAAAGCACTTTCTCTTGCAGTCAACTAATTGAGCCTGTGGGTTACATAACTTCAGCAAATTTCAGATGCTGGTTAAATAATGTGGAGGGAATAAAGGAGGTTAACAGTGCCACGTGTTTACCAAGATTTTTTTTTTTTTTTTTTGCAAACTAAACAGTGAAATCTGAATGTTCTAGCCCCTCAAGGCAAAAACAAACAAACAAACAACAACAACAAAACAATGAAAAATGGTGTGAAGATGGCTGTTGTCAGTTAGGTCACTGAGGTTGGGGTGGATTGCTGGAGAATAAGGGAGCTGAGACATGCTTAAGGCGCAGTGGCTCTGGACAGAAAACGACACTTTAAATAGGGAACAGAGAAGACAAGAGGGTTCAGAAACAACCGCACACAAGTCATGTCTGAAGGATGGCGACTGCTGTGGAGCCACAGGCGAGCATGGAAGGACAAGGGGCGAGAAGGAAGCACGACCCGATGAGACCGCCAACAACAGGCCCAAGAGCTCCCACGCAGAGCAGAGGGCCGTGCAAAGCGTCCAAAGAGGAGGCAGCTGTGATGCAGCTATGATTACATCTACTCCTCTGCATTAGATCAACCACACGAGATAAATAAAAGATCAATTCCCCTTTTCGTAACAGCACTTCATATTTTTAAAACTGTAGCTATGTTCTTCCACTAGAGATAGAATTAGCATATGAGTAAAAAAACTGAACCTAAAGAAAGGTCTAGAGACCTACAAGACTGCCACCAACTAAAATTTTGAGCAACCGTGGAAAGGCTACCACAAATGCCCTTCCTGGATAGTGAGATCAACAACTAACGTATCCAACATCATGGAGCCCTCATCTAGTACCTGTTGGAAACAGAACAAACACCCATACCTAAACACTGAGTCGAACTAGAATCCAGATGCTGAGGGAGAAGACAAGACCAGGTTGCAGAAACACATAGAGACAGCTGACCTGAACATGGAGGAGCTAACGGGTCCCCAGACTGATAGCTGGGAATCCAGCACGGGACTGACTCAGGCCCCCCTGAATATGGGTCTCAGCCAGAAGGACTGAGCAGTCTTAAGGGACCTCAGACAGTGGAACCAGGATGTATCCCTGGTGCACAAATGACCTTGCGAACACATCCCCCATGGAGGGATAACTGCCTTAACCTAGAGACAGGAGAGAAGTCCTAGTCCCTCCTTCAAATGACCTGTCAGATCTACATGACCCCACCTGGATGGCACTGCCCTACATATGGAATTAGGGTGGGGGATGGGAGGGGAGGGTGGTTAGAGTGCATGTGAGAGGGCAGAGAGGGTAAAAGGAAGGGAGGAAAGGAGGGAGAGGGAACTGGGATCGACATATAAAATAATAAATTAAATACAAAAATTAAATAATAAAAAAGAAGAAGATACTTGCCATTTTCCCATGTATTGAAATATGAACACAAATGGGCCTGACCAATAGGGAGGAGGGAAAAAGAACAGGTATCGCTACTGTCCTTTCACACTCTCCCAACTGAGGTGTATTCTCACCACTTGAATGGGCATCCTATTTCGTCTTTGAGTTTGTCTTGATGCCAATGAGCAGCTCCCAAGCAAATCTTGTACCATGTGGGAAAGTGATGTGTGGGTGCCACAGAGCAATCTGAAGAACAGCCATCGTCTTTACCAAAGAGCCACAGAGCTAAGAGCATCGTGGCAGGTGTTTCTAGGCACCCGTGTTTCTGAGGACTGTGAGTAAAAACCCCAGACCCCAGCTCCATATTTGTTTCTGTTGCATTCTTCAGGGTGTTTCCTCAGCATCATGCAGTGCTTCTGCCCCTGAAGGAGTAGAAAGCTCGAACTCGTGCTCATACAACATCAAATACACTGCGCGAGGGTGCTGCTGTCCTCCATCCAGTGATGTCACCTCAACAGGGTTTTCAGAATGACCAGCAGTTTCATTTCAGTGAGGAGAGCACTGAGCTGCTTTCAGAGTTACACTCATAAGTAGTGTCTCCTTAAAATGTTCATTCGTGGAACTTTGGCAAAGTACAATATATTTACAGTGTTTAAAAAAAAAAAAGGAAATGTTAATCAAATAAAACTGCTTTCAAATTACAACCAGAGTTGGGTGAAATAGCTTTCTTATTTAAAAGTCATACTTGTTACAATCAGAGAACTGATATAAATTCCAAGGTCTGAAGATTGTACCCTCTGTCCTCTTAAGTTATGAAAGACACAACTCATCAAAGGGAGATCCTGGCTGACTCTTAAAAACAATTAAAGATTCTTAAAATGCACTGCCTCGAATCATTCAGCTTACTTGTCTAATAATGCATGCCACTGGGGTGTGAACATCCATTTCAGTTTCAACTGTTCCAAAACTGGTTTTGTTAAAAGGAATTGTGAAGGAAATTACTATTTACTGAGGTGGTGACTACAAATTCCATTGCCATGGCAATTCTGTGTTAACCATAAGGTACACTGTACAGCTTAGCAACAGCATTGTTCCCACTGTTTTAGTATTCAGACAAAATTTTCATTGTATTTATAAATATTTATGGAGAAATTGCCATCCATAAAAGTACAGTTAACAAGATGCTCATTAGAAAGCCTCAGACTCACCTAACATTGCCCTTGGTATTTCGTAGAACAGTTGCTGCAAAATTCTGTGTGACCCCCACCAGGCTGATTCCATCCACTTCTACAATCTGGTCATTGACTTGGATCCTGGAGAAAAACAGAAAACAGCACCCATAGTGAAATTGTCTGCTAATGCAAGAAAGTAACTTGACCAAAATTTTGCTGATTCCAAACTTATCTTCTGCACAATAAGCTCCAGAGTGTAGTCAAATCCTTAATATCTTTTCCAGATTGAAGAGACAGCTCAGTTAGTACAGGGCTTGCCTTCCAAATACAGAGAGCTGAACTTGACACCCAGAAACCATGTAAAAATGTTAACAAGAGAATACCTGTGGCTTGCTGTCCAGCTAGTCAAACACATTTAGCTAATCCAAGGCCAAAGAGACACTCTCTCAAGAAAAGGTAGACAGCACCCGAGGAACAAAACTTGAAACTGTTCTCTTAGTCTCTACATGTGCATATCAATGCACACATACCCACATAAACATATAAATGTATGTACATATGCAGACATTACAAAAAATAAAAATTCCACTGAAAGCTAGAAAAGTAATAGTGAAAGATTCAGTTTCACACATATACTTTAAAAAAAATAGTAACTATAAAGTATGGCAGATCTCTAGTACATTTTGTGCCTAATGAAATCTAACAAATACTGTTGAAATACTCTTTGAGCCTAACACCTAGTCACTGTCACTCTCTTCTCCTTCAGGCAAAACATCAGGAATGGTGTCAGTTGTTCAAATATGCAATACTTACATGTGTACATGTGTATGCTTATATATACTCAGATGTGTAATTATGTATGTATGTTTCTGAGATGCACATTATACTAATACTGATAAATAAAGTCATTCTAAATATATGTGCATACATATATATATACATACACACACACACATATATATGTATGTATGTATATACAGTGACTTCATGGAATAATGTTGTATGAAATGGAAAGCACACACTCAAGCACCCAATTTCCAGCTTTATCAAATATGAGCACTGTGTGGTATTTGAATCATGTTTTTTCTTAATTAATTCATTACAAAAATGGGGAAGTCCCTTAGTTATTTTCCTATAATCTTACTGCCTTTATTTCTTCAGTAGAGATGGCACATACTGTTTTTGTTTAGCAAGATATGCCAATGAATACACATAATGTATGTTTAAAAAATTATAACGTGTACTTCTCATCTTATTAAGTACTTCACTCACTCAATATTAAATTTGAGATGTTTTACTCTGGCAACCACAGTTGCAATTCTAGCTAATTCATTTTGACATCTATACCATAGTATATTCTGTGCATGTACTTTTGGTAGATAGACATGCATCATTTTCAAATTTAGCTATTATAAACTCAGCTGTAAATAATTAACTTTCTATATGCTTTTTTTTTTATACACGTGAGTCCTTCCAGGGTATATACTTGACTCAAAGAGTTTCAGTCACAGTAGAAATTAAACAAACATATGGGGGTTGAAGAATCCTTGGTGTTTCCAGATCTTTTATACACTGTCAATCATGGAGCTAACCAATTGGAGCTAAGCAAGCTTTATTATTCTGACATTCCTGCCTACCTTGTTCCTTAGAGAAGGCAAAGGAAATGGGTGTGCTGACAATGGAGCCCAAGTTATGCAGCCAAGCTCTCTGCCATTGGGCTATACCCAGTTCCCAAAATACTCTTTTGTTCACATTTATTTTCTTACTACCTTCTGAAATGCTTAGGGAGGTGAATAAAATATTTGACCTGTTTGTTTTATACTCATGAAAGTCATCTTTTAAGTTCTTTGGTGTTCACCTGTATTTGAACAACAAATTCTGAAAGGTGTGCTGAAGTGAGCAAGTGAGCTTACAAAGCCTGTCAAACTGTGGCATTACAGAGAGACACCTCAGTGCTGAGGCCCACCCCCACCCCAGACATCAGAGTGAGCCTCAGAAAGAGCAGAAATGGTATCTGCGCTATTCAAGTCTGCTACTAGCAGTTTGGTTTTCTCATTTGTCTCCTTCTGCAGTTTATAGTGCCCTTCGGCCCTACCCTATCCTTGTCCGCAGGTTTTACAATTCTGGTCCTAGACCTAAGATGATGATGATGATGACGACGACGATGACGACAATGGTGGTGAAGGCTGGGGAATCCTTAAAAGCAGCAGTGAGAGAGAGGAGGCTCTTGGGGTCTTTCCATGGAGAGCTAGTTACTTGCAAGGGTTACTGAAATCTATGGCACTCCAGGGAGAGCAGAAGAATCTGACACACTACCCTTTTCATTCTCCTCTGAATTTACGAGTTCAAATCATTTCACCAGCATGTCACGACTCCTAAAGGAAATCAGACTTCGTGGAGATGCCACTGTGTATGTTTTGTGTTTCTCTGAGGACTTAACGTGCAGCTAAGGTTGCAAACCGAAGCTATCTGTTTCCTAAGTTGTGTGATTGAACACTCCTCTCTCATTAAGTGGCAATGAAATACCTTCCCAAGAATGGTATTAATAAACACCACCAACAACAACACAAAACAAAACAAAACAAAAAAAAACCCAAATCTCTGAAATTAGGAAGGTGTGATCCAGTTGGATTTTGTACTGTAAACAATTAACAATGCTAACCTTACGTCTATTCTGGGCTTCACTATTTTCTCCTGCTGATCTATTTATTTACTTATAAATACCATATTTTCTTGATCCCCGAGGCTTTAAAAGAAAATGTTGAAGCCAGGTAATGAATGTTCCTTCCAAATTTTTTCCTTATCCTTCATTGAGTGTACTATTTTGGACCTTATGTTTCTCCATATAAAACATCACAGTCTACTCAACAGTATTCACTGCTGTGGTCTGAAGTGAAATGTCCCTCACAGGCTCATGTACTTGGACTCTTCCTATTCCCCAAATGGTGGCACTGTGGGGAAGGCCTTGCAGGAGGAAATAGGTCACTGGAGATGGCCCCACTTCCTGCTGGCTCTTTCTGCTACTCAATTGAGGATGAAAAGTGGTCAGCCAACTTCCTACTCCTGCCTCCAAGACTCCCCAGCCTGGTGCCAAGACTTTTGTCTAGGATGGAGGGCTCATTCCTCTGGAACTGTGAGTCAGAATGAACCCCTTCATTCCTTAAGTTGCCTTTGTCAGGGTTATTTATCAAAGCAATAGGAAGAAAACTAAAGCATCTATAAATTAACTTTAGTGAGATTATTCACTGAGGTTTCACTGGACACATAGATAAAATTAAGGAGAATTCACATCCTGTCAGTACTTTTCCTATCTGTGAACATGAATATAACTCTACTTATCAACCCATATTTGATCTTTATCAGAATTTTATAGCTTTCCTCATAGGGAACCTAACATCTAATTATATGTACTTAATTTGGGGAGATGATAATATAACTATTATTTCTTTTCATTTAAAATTTTGTTTATTCATTGCTGATTTACTATGCATCACTAACAGTGAATAAATTTATATAATAAGCTCATATCCTACCAATGATAAAATTACTATATTTGAGAAGTTGACATTTTAAAATAAATCTAGTAAAAAAGAGTATTCCTGCAGATACTATTTTAGAGGACAGACTGCCCGTGCTTGCTTTCTATGTAGTCTTATAAAAACTGATCAGATTTGCTCTCACATTCTGAGAAGAGACACAGGCTTCATCCTTCAAAGAACACTTCCAGGCATGGGCAAGGATCTCATAGGAGATTTTTCTACTCTCAAATCCATTTTTTTTTCCGGTCCCACTGACACAAAACAACGTGATAACCGTAAAGATAAATTAAATTTGGAAGTGGTGGCACAGTCCAGCAACAATGGCAATTCTGGACACTGAGGAAGAAGATTGGCTGGAAGACAGGATTTTGAGGTCAGCCTGGACAACACAGCAAGACCCTGCCATAAGTATATAATAAACATAAAACAAGTGAAAAAGAGATGAACGCAGCAGAGACGGATGAGCTCATCTCTAAGGGTCCAGGTTTTGGCGGCAAGGAGCCTTACTCTACAAGAGGAAAGGAGGTACCTAACTGGCGCAGGCATGGCACATTGGAGGAGAACCTGATGTTAAAAATGCCAATTGTCACCAACGTGACATAAAAAAACAAACCAGAAACATGTTCCTGACACAAGGCAGATGTGAGAAAGGAATCTCGTTTTTAAAGTATGAAAAGTCTAAAAAGCATTACATGTAAATCAAAACTGTTGTTCCTGTTGTAAAAAGTGCACAGTTGACATCCCTTTATTTAGATCATTGTTAATGTTTATTCCGATGCTTCAGTTCAGTAACTTCAGTCCAATTTTCTTAACTCTATTTTGTACAAAACCTTGGATTTTTGAGCATGAATTATTGTAAGTTATTCCTTGGTTAGCTCCAGGTCTCATCTAAGATGTGTACTGTCAAAGATTAGAAAACAAACAACAACAAAAAAAATCAAAACCTTCTCATCTCAACTTATTTTTCATACCACATACTTTAACAGACAATAGTTTGGGTAGTTATTATTCTAAATGAGATATGCATGGAGGTCAAGGAAGAAAGCTAGCACAGATAACAATGCAATCTAACGGGCATTTCTAAGTGACACTGGAGATGCCCTGTTGTTCCCAAAAGTCACACAACATCATAATTTTAAAAGAAGGCTCTTGGGGCAAAGGCAGAGATAAAGTGGGGAGGGATGTGCTTAAAGAAGCCTAACAGATGCCAATGAATATGGAGAAAAACCTGGTCTACAGATAGGGTCTAGACCATGAACTGAAAACCCAAGCCTTGTGGCACTCCAAAGAAAGAAATACACAACATAATGAGAACGTATGGGTAAAATAAACGAGGACAAAAAAGCGAACGGTCAGTTTTAATGAAAATAATGAAGAATAGAGTCAATACACAAAATAACCATTTCTGGCGCAATTGAAACGAAACAGAGAAGCTGGGTGTGGTGGCATACACCTCTAATCCCAGCATTTGGGAGGCAGAGGCAGGTGGATCTCTAAGTTCTAAGACATCCTGGTTACAGAGTGAGTTCCAGGGACAGCCAAGGCAATACAGAGAAACTCTATCTCAAGAAAACAAACAAAGAAGCAAATTCAAGAAAAGGGGAAAACAGAACTCAATGTCTTTTATGCTATATTTGGGATTGCCCACTAGGTTCCACGTGTCCAATGTTTGAAGCATGAATTCGAGAGTCTTTAGATGGTCATTAAAAATAAACTAGAGCACTAAGAAGAAAATGGCACATGAGCCACAGAGTAGGCCCACAAGAATAGGGAGTAAATACAGACTTTAAGTTTAGAATTCCATATTAATTTTGTTTGTTGTATCTAACCTTTATTTTATTTTATTTTTTGTAAAATGGAGAAGCAGGGGAAAATTTTTCATCAGTTAAACAGTAGAGACAGTTGGTGTGGACCACTCATTTCTGTAGATTCTCACTGAAACACCAATGAATAATACACTTGCCAAAAAAAAAAAAAAAAAAAAAACAAAAAAAAAAAACCTCACTACCACCAACAAAAAACACACCAAAAAATTTATTTTTAAAAGGAAGAAATACAGGTGACCAGAACACATTTTCAAGGGCTCAAGCAGAAGGTCTGAAGAGATGCCTCGGCAGCTAAGGGCCCTGCTCTTACACATGGCCTCGGTTCAGTTCCCAGCACCCACAGCACAATGGACTGTGCTGATGCCTTCTGGTGTCTGTAAGGAGCCACATGCATGTGGTGCCCAGGCACATACATATACTTGAATTAAAATAATAAATAAATTATTAAGGACAAGGGCACAAAAGGACATTAAAAGCTGAAGGGAAATTATGGCATTCAAATTATTAAAGGTTCTATTATATCACAATATTCAGTCTAAATGGGATATAGCAGCAGCTGTCTGGGAGTTCTGCTCTGGGAAGCACAAACTGACGTTTCTGAAGGGCACTTCAGCAACGTATTTCTAAAGCATTGAATGATATGACAATGAAATTTACCATTATTTAATCAGTTTCAGAGAAATCACCAGAGATATTCCTGATAATTTGTATATAAAAATGTTGACATACTTTCCATTTTGAAATAAAAAAAATGCCAAAAACATCTGTAAGTTACACACCACACACACACACACACACACACACACACACACACACACACACACTCACACACACACACTGCAATCTTTGAGATTTGTTTCTGGCCATGGTTTCAGCAATCTACCCAGACAGGGAACAAGCCTGTGGGAAGAAAGACTCCTGAAGACTTCAGGTCTTACCTTACTTAAGGAAACAAAGGTGTACTGACTGAACAACTCCCAGAGGCAGGTCAGCAACAGGACGCTGACAGTGGCTAGCAACACGATCTTCACTGCTCAGCCTAGACGTGTTCCTTACTACCCTAAAAACCAACACTACATATGCTGACTGCTGATGATAACATTTTCATAGAGACTAGGGACACAGCCTGAAAGGCTTCCCTTGGCTAAAGCATTACAAGAGTGAGTCATAATCAAGCCGAAGCTTCTGGACTTGAGGATCTACAGTCTATAACCCAAGCCAAAAGGAAATTCTCTCAAAATGTAAGGAACATTTGGAGCTTCCACACTTATACAGAAAATATTCCATGTTTAAGATATAAAATTAACATATAAAAGTATTATGACATTCTCTAATTTCTTCAATGTGGCTATGTAAACATGAAACTCACACCTACCTATGTGCCCAAAACAAGGGGAAAAAAGAGTATAAAAAGTACTATAAGGAAGGAAAGCAAAACTGTCAACCTAGAGAGAATTTATCATGAGGACTCCAGGAGATGAACTGTTAAAGAGGTCTGTCGAGGAATAGACATGACATTAGGTAAAAATGTGCATCTTGCCAAAGAGAAGAAGTAGTCCAGGCTGCAAAGCACTCCAACAGTGACACTGACCCCTGCACAGGGCATGCTCTTCAGCCTCCTCCCCAAACTGCCGAGAGGCCTCGGTACTGACTCAGAACCCGCCAGTAGCCGTAAGGCTAGTGAGCTGGTTTATTTAGTGTATACATATAGTTATGACTTTACAAATGGGGTAAATTTTACACGTTTAATTCGCTTGGAAGAAGGGGGCCTTTCAATGAGTTACATGATGGTGATATTAATATTGCCCACTTTAAATTTCTTTTTAATATTTTTTATTTTTTCTTGACACGGTTACTCTGTGTAGCCCTGACTGTGTAGAGTAGGCTGGCCTCAAACCAGAGATCCACCTGCCTCTGCCTCCCAAGTGCTGAGGTTAAAGGTGTGGCTACTATGCCCAGCTTAAAATGTTGTGTATTTATTTATTTATTTTGCATTGTCTTAATGTGTGTTTGTACTCATGTCCACACTCATGGAAATCAGAGGACAGATTTTGGTAACATGTTATTGGCTCCATTATTTTCCATGGTTAACTTGACATCTTTCTTAAGACCCTGTCTCTAAAATAAAATAAAATAAAATAAAATAAAATAAAGCTCGTGTGGTGGGGTCACACACTTTTAATCCCAGCACTTGGGAGGCAGAGGCAGGAAGATCTCTCTGAGTTTGTGACTAGCCTGGTCTACAGAGTGAGTTACAGGCAGGCTTCAAAGCTACAGAGAAACCCTGTCTCGAAAAACCAATAAATTAAATAAATTTGGTACCTGCCCCTTTAGGACTCTGTGTATACTAACAGGTGTTTTAAGATTATGAAAGACAGAAGGGTGCTGTTGTGAGTTTCGAGATCAGGATTCTTTGACATCTTGAGAAGAAGGTTATGGGATATGTAATCTAACATAAAAAATGTTATTTATTCAGTGTCCTTTGAATTCAGCTATCAAAATCTGGGGTATCTGCTCATCTCTACTGTCACCCCTTTGCTTCCAGTTTCCATCAGATCCCTGGTGTAAGGTGAAATCTTTACATTCAAGATACATGATCTTTGCGCGGATTCAAGCTAAAACAGCAGGCTGCTGGGCTCTGCTCATGGACAGGTCTCCTACAGGTCCCAGCAGCGCTCTAGTACCTGTTTCTCTGTAGGAGCCATGGGGGAACACTAGTCCCCAGAATTCCCCTCCACCTCTGCCATTTTCAAAAACACCAAAGTAATTACCATCCATTTGAACATTTCTGAAACAGAGTTATATGTCAACTTAGCCAGGACATACTCTTCAACCATACATGTCCATGTTACGACCCACTTCACACTGAGTTAAGTAGGTGGATGGATAGAAACAAAGGCAGGCAGACAGATGTACAGTTATTGCATAGATATTCTGCTACCAACAAGAAAGTAATCCAGGTGTTTTAACATTCTCGCACATCTGAGAAACAATAAAAATATATTTTAATCAAAAGATCACACTAACGGAGTTTGTGGGGCAGTTCCCTGGGATTCAAGTGACAGTCCAGTACCCAGCTCACCTGCCATCCCGCTGAGCAGCACCGCCATCTGTCACTGTCTTGACAAATATCCCCAGCTTCTCCAGGCCTGCATCGGCACCAACACCCATTCCAATAATGCTTATACCAAGCCCATCCTCATCTAGGAGAAAGAGAAGACAGTGAGCAGTGGATTTTGTCCTGTACTAGCTGGCCTAGCTGAGTGGTGAGGCTGCTTGCTGCCTTCTTTGTTGTTCATTGTACACGGGACAAATGATTTGTTGGCCTCCTCAAATCAGGAGGCGCCAAATGGTTCAGGAGTCTCGGACATTCTTCTGCTATTGTTGGTAATTCAGCATGGTCCCAGGAAAGATAATAGTTTGGTTCTAGAAGAATCAATGGATCTCAAAACAGAGTCTCCAATTACCCTATGCAATGGTTTAGTCGTGAACAAACACACACTCAATAACAATTACAATTTTAAATAAATGTGACCCACAGTTATTTGGAATTTCATCTTTTCATTTTTATTGTCTACTCATGCTAAGAAGGTTCCATGAAGCTTCGAGTGGGTTCAGTGATCAAGTATTTTCTAACTGTGCCTTATGCACTGAGTTTGGTATCTAGCTCAACAAAAACAAAAGAAAAATGAAGATTGAATGTATGAGAACAATCCTCTATGCTTCTGTACAAGTACCTATACTCATCCATAACAATATATGCATTACATATCTATACACATACAGAAACATCCAAAGGCACCCCACACTCAAGTATATTTAGCTTTTCTTTACACAAAAAAGACTTCATTTCTATCGGCATCCACACATTTAAAATTAATGATACCTCTGTGCATAAACTTTTCTAGACCCAAATCATATTTAATGACTGCATGATATTTCATGATGATATATCACAGTATATTAAATCACATCTCTATTAACAATCAGTCACCTTTATTTCTATTTTATTGGCCCTGTAAGCAATACTGAAAGTTATATTTCAAATTCACTTACAAATCATGTATTTATTCCCATTTCCATTTGTCCTTCCCATAAGCATATGTAGTTCACCACCAATAAAATAAAAAGGCTTTGTTAACATTCAAGGTGATTTTTCTGCTAACCTCAAAGTCTTTGTAATCATGATTTATCAGCAGCATTAAAAAATAGATACTAGCTAATCAGCAGTTATGGGTCATTAAAGGAGAACTAACTCCAAATTTAAGAGAATGCATTTAAAATAACTTTGTGCAATTATTATTATATTTATAATATGCTTCAAGGAGGATTCACCTCTGTAAACATTACTTGTCACTAGCAACTGCCTTTTTGACAACTTTGTTCTAAGGACATTTAGATGATCCTGTAAGTTTATCCTCCATTTGTTTCTAATGATGCCTTTAGCAGTGCTGTATCTTGGATTGTATGGTGTCTTCCCTGCATTAGTTTTAATGTGGAATCCATCTGAAGACATGGCTACCTTGATTGCAAGCATATGGATCCCCCCCCCAGGGTGAGAACATGGAACATCCACTAATGTGTGAGTGATCACTGAAGGCTATTGGAACCCATTGCACTGAGGATGTTGCATATATGCAACTTCTATATTTATTTCATTCAAGTAATTCCTCTTATATAAATAACCTGGACTTGATTGGAAGGATTCTCTTGTCAAAGATTTTCCAACACTCACCACATTGTGAGAGCTTTCCCCAGAGTTCTCTTGTGCTTGTGAAGGTTTCCAGTGTTTCTGCAGGGCTGGGTGGATGGGGTGAGTTGCATATTGGTCATGTGTAAGGTTTTCTTCTCTCCAGAATGAATTCTCTTGTGTATGTCATGGTAAAGGGATGGTTGAATGAGTCACACTATGATATTAACCTGATTATTACCAGGTTAAGGCTACACATCATCAAACTGGTATTATCTCTTCTAACTCCTGTTTTCCCATGTTGGCTGTGTTATTCCCACCAATCTAGGTGACAAATACTGTTACAGATTGTTTTTACAAATATGATATCACTAGTTTTTAGCATTTGATTTTAATGTGTTTAGAGTTTCTCACACACGATGTAATGAAAGTGCTCAAATGTGTAGTTCAGGTAGAGGCTGAGACATGTCTGATTTAGTGCCATCTTAAATTCTCTCTCATATTAATATTTTCTATTTTGTTCCACTAACCAACCACTGTCAGTATAATTTGTTCTGATTATCAAAGTTTGTATTACACTGAAATATTTGGCAAATGAAGCCTTCATGTTTTTACACTTCCCTTAGGTTTGGATCTTTCTCTATATAATTTATTATTATTTACACAACACCCTCTCTCTTGTAACTTAACTTTGTTGACAGTTCTATTTGTATTACACTGAATTTGATTCTGAAATGAACCTTCCTATTCAGGAATATGATAAATCCACCACTTGGTTTAAGTCTAGTCTGGAACCTATTAAGTACTTAGCTGGCCTTGAACTTATGGCAACCTTCTTTCCTTAGCTTTATATGTGCTGAGATTACAGAAATGAGTCACCATACCTAAAAAAGAAAACACTTGACTTTTCTGTAGATTAAAAATATAAATATTATATTTTACATAATAAATATAATCAATATTTTGCTAATTACAAATGAAATATTTTCCCATTTTACTCTTCAGTTGTGAGAATGAATAATGAAAAAACTATTAATTTCTAATGGATCTTGAGGCAGACCTCTTCCTTCATAAATTATGTTACCACCTCTAATATTTTAAAAATTGAATTATATCTCAAAAATAGATACAGATACTGCAATGGTTCAGCTGTATGTCCCCTTAAAGACCCATGTGTCATAAAGACTTGGTCCTCAGCCTGGCTGAGAGATGGCAGGCCCTTAGGAGGCAGGGCCTAAACAGAGAACTTAAAGGGAATACATGACTCAACCACTGGTCTCCCTCTTTCCTGCTTCTTGGCTGTCAAGAGGGGAGCAGCTTCTGTCCCACAGTCCACTCTACTGCTTCCCCACAGGCTCAAAAGCAATGGCCAACAGCCATGGACTGAAGGTACAGACTAAAATCAGCTGCCTGTAAGCTGTTATCTCGGGTGTTGTGTGTCAGTCAAAGAAGCCTTACTCACCAGATACGAATATGGATGTATTAGCAAAAGGGATGCTTGGCAAACTTCATCTTTTGTTCTTTATACTGGTCATTTCATTAAACGGCACTGCAAGTTTGTCCTCTGGCTTGAGTTGAAGCATTTTCCATGCTTCCTGAACTTAAAGATAGAATTCTCCATTGCTTTTGTGATCTCCACTTGGCAAAATTCATAGACAATACCCATTACATGCCAATTTATATAGTTTTTAAATCTAAATTTTCACAAATATCTTTCTGTATTTTTATGGAGTTAACTTTACTGATAAGGACTACCTGTTATCTCATATCTAAAAATGCATTTTCTCTAATGTATTCAGGTATTTCCATGCTTGATATTTTATTTCAGTTACAATTCTGAAACTTGGAGTTGGTACTATAGTCTTCATTTCTTAATAGTATGTTACTCTTGGGTAAAAAGTCTTCCAGGATTTTTGATGGCATGTGTCAGTTTTCCTTCATTTTATCAGATACCAAAGGGTCTAAGCAACACTGGTTTTGGGTGTTTTTTATGTGCCATGGAGCCATCTGGCTCTGAAGTACTTCCCTGTTTTACCTGTAGATGCCATTCTAATGAAATGTTTCCATGTTTTATATAATAGACATCATTCCAATTGCTGTCGTGGCAACTCACCAATATGTTCCATTGATTTGGATGATTCATATTGTTAGAAAATAACAAGTCATTTCTAGGTACTCATCATCTGTGCCAGAGAAATTCATTGCCCAACAACCCTCATGCTGTTCATTTGCATATATTTATTTTATATTGCTATTTGCCATTAGTTGAAATTGGCAAGGGTTGGATCTAGTCAATGAAAAACATTGCACTATTCATTTTAACATTTTCTCTTTTTGTGTCAAGTATATTTGTGTTTATAGCTTCTCCCTGGCCTGTCATTTGCCTTGTGCTGTTCTGAACATGATTCTACTCAACAGCCTATGCTGGATTTGAACTTCAGATGCCTCTGTCACCTGTGCGCTGGGATGACAGGAAGTGTGCTACAGCAGGCTTGTGCTTCTCAGTTTTAAAAAGGACTTGGAGCTTTCAAAGGGAACTTGACTACAGACTGAAAGAGTCTGGAGATAATGGCTCTATCTCCCCTCAGCACTGCGTCTTCCATTGCTGCCAGACCAGGAGAATGTGCTGGTTTTGGTCCTTTGCATACGATTTTATAATTTTAATTAATGTATAAACACAGAGACCAAAAGAAAAGCACAAAGGAAGATTTAGTGTCACACTTTATGCCACCACTAAGGGTGTGCAAGTATAAGAGTATAAGGAAAATCAAATTTAAAACTACAAAATTCCTGGCTCATTAACAGTAACTTCTACTTTAGTATATCTAAGTCACTGTTATTAATGCTCTTTTATTCAGGCAACTGATTGAATGTAAAAGCAGTGGTAAACTAAGATGTCTTCTAATACCATGTACTTTGTCTGTTCAGCCGTTCATAATCAGTTACCAACCTCAGAGGCTATTTTTTTCTTTTGTCCTAGGACAGGTTGCCCACCCTCCTTGTTTCCATGGAAAAAAATCCTCCTAGCTTGGGTCTAGGACTAAGTAGCTATTTCTGCTGAGTATGTTTTAGTTCTTAAATTTTATGCTTTTTTGATGATAGATGTCAGTGACATTTCATAGTTTCAAAGACATTCTGGTGAAAGTCACATAGTAATAATACCAGAAATAAGTTTGCTTTTGTTCTTACATCCTTAAAAAAAGAAGAAAAAAGAGGTGTTATCATTGTTTCTATACTCCCTAAGACTCCCTAAGACATACTGCTGTGAAAGTCCAGACCGCAACACCCTCCACATACACACACACACACACACACACACAAAAAAAAAAAATAAATGGTTAGGTCTGTCACAGCAATACACTATGATCCTGGTACCAGTTTGTCTTACTTTGGGTTAGTATTGCTATGGCAAAGCACCATGACCAAAATCACTTTGAGAGGAAAGGTTTTATTAGGCTTACACTTCCATACTGCTGTTGATCATCAAAGGAAGTCAGGACAGGAACTCAAGCAGGGCAGGAACCTGGAGGCAGGAGCTGGAGCAGAGGCCATGAAGGAGTGCTGTTTACTGGCTTGCTCCTCAAGGCTGCTTTCTTACAGAACCTAGGACCAGCAGCCCAGGGATGGCACCATCCACAATGACTGGGCCCTCCCATACCACTTATTGATTAATTAAATAAAGGCCTGCTTATAGCCCATTTTATTGAGGCGTTTTCTCAACTGACACTCCCTAATCTCCAGTGACCCTGCTTGTGTCAAGTTGACATAAAACTAGCCAGCACACCTGCTATCTGGAACACCATCGCAGCCAGATAAAGCAACTGGGTTGTCTGGGAGCTGGTGAGATGAGGGAGTCATTTAATAAATGATCCACTCAAAATTAACAACAGCTCTTTGTGAACTGTGGTAAAGTTCAGGGAGAGATACAACTTTATTCAGTTCTTAGGAACAAGATACACTCTGGACGAGCCACTCCACGTTACTGGCACAGACCATGAAGATGCAGGACCTGGAACCCTGCTGTACCTTTCTCCAGCTCCACCGGGAAAAGTTCCAGCTTTTCTACTCGCTTCTCAAGTTCATACTCAGCAGATGCGGCCACAGGGTCTACTTCATCATTTCTCCTGTCATAGTCTTCATTGGAGTATGTGTTGAAAACCTATAGTAAAAGGCCAAGAGCAAATGATGATACAGAAATGATGCCATCCAGTTTCGCAAACTACTTATCGTAATGCAAAATACTACCATGATGCATTTCTTCTTTGTTTCTTTTAATTTTTTATGTATGTGTTCACGAATATGTATGAATATGAGTGTGGTATGTGTGCTGCGAGTGTCTGTGTATGCTGCCCACAGAGAGTCTGGAGGATGACACTGGATAGATGTTCTGCTCCATTGCTCTCCTTATTTCCTTGAAACAGGGTATCTCACTGAAACTGGACCTAGGTTGGCAGTCTGCAAGCCTCCCAGTCCTCCTCTTTCTGCCCACCTACACTGCTGGGATTACAGATGCATGTTTCCATGCTTGCCTTTTTATATGGTTTCTGAGGATTTGAGGTTTCTGAGGATTTAAACTCAGGTCCTTATGATTTCTCAGCAAGTTCTCTTACATAGTGAGCCATCACCCCAACCTATGATGCATTTTTTCCTAACAACCATTTGATATTTAAAAATAATCGAGATGTTAAAAAAAGATAAAAGGAAAACTGAATGAAAATAAAAGTAATTTACTAAATTAAAAATGTCTGAGTCACTTTGTCAATTTCAATAATTTAGTAGAAAAAAAAAATAGTCATAGACTGCTTTGTGTAACTAGTAATATTCATCAGCCTTTATTTATTCAGAGTACAGTAACCAGTGCCAAGATCTATTTCCTGGTCAAAGTAGAGTAAGGCACATCAAAGCTATCTTGCCAAATTCCCTAGCTGTAGCTGTCCTATGATATGGACTATACTAGCCTCACCAGTGTAATGTATTGATGCTATAACTACATCATAATCACAGAATAACTGAAATTGATTTCCATTCAAAACTGCTCTCATCTGTCTTCTGTCATTTTACTTGTATATAGATTTAAATTAACTTTTCATTGGCTCTTTCTAGGAAATAGCTATCAACATATTGCTCAAAGGCTGTAAAACTAAGATACTGACAGTATTTTTCTAACTTAAGTCATTCAAAAGACTATGTGTGGCCCTCAGACAGTACCATAATAAATGTGCTTTTTGTAAATGAACTAACATAGTTATCAACTCAGTACACTGAAGAGTCTTTGAAGGAAAGAAATGTACCTATTACTAAGTGCAATCAATATATAGAATAAAAGCTGTCATTACCAATTCAAATTAAAATTTATTAAGCAGTTAAATTACATCTGAAAAGGCTCTGCAAATCTCCCCTCAAACTCTTAAAATCTGGAAGTAAAAAGTTTTTTAAAATATATTAAAAGCTGTAATAGAAACAGAAAGAAGACTGAATGAAGATAAACAATGAAGGAAATGTATCTATTGCCTCCCCAACTGACCCTGTTACTCTGGGTAAGATTTGAAGTGCATTACTGGGATATTTGCAATTCTTTTATTTGGGGTAAACCAAGAGTACAGACACAGCGTCCACTCTCACAGTCGCGTCTTTGGAAGCTGAGCACCTGAGTAGACTTGTTTTGAGCAGTCCTCCCCTTGCTCTCCATGTTTTGATCTCATGCTTCCTGTAGTCCCCCTTCCTCTCCCCCATGGTAGGCATTGCATTAAAACGTATGTTTTATGCATTTACTTATTTTTACAGAAAACATGCTTCCTGTGCCCTTATCAGATGATAAAATTCGTGACTTTCTCTCAGCTCTTTTTACCTTCCACCTTCAGCTTTTGGTAGTCACTTATTAGCATTTACTCAGTCAAACAAATTTTAACACAGCAACTCAGTGCTAGCTATTGTGCTAGACACTGTAAGGCTCTTTTCATTGTTAAGTCACTCATGGTCTGAGGGCATGCAGACAAAGAAAGTTATAAATAGTCGAAAGGGAAAAGTCAGAATTGATTATTATAGATTAACTAGTATTGACTTGGAAAAGGCGTGAAAGTCAACAATCAACTAAAACTAATGAGCTCAGTAGTGCAAGGTTAATATTTAAAGTTTATCATACAAAACATTTTGAAAACATAAAAAAATGAAAACCTATAACTACTTACAAAGTTGAAGGATTTCCTTCTCTATAAAACATAGGGAGCTCTACACATAATCCCATATTATTTTCCTAAACTAAAATCTTTAATAACATAAAGGCTACCATTGCTCCCAATTTACTGTAAATGTCAGTTTACAGTCATTTGCAAATCCAGGGCAATTAATGTCAAAAATCTCACCCATGTGTTTGGAAATTAATAAGCTGAAAAAACATAATCATGATAAAAAAAAAACTTACATCCAAACTTCATTAATTAAAGAAATGCAGTTTGGTCCTAGATATAGTAGCAATTTATATTCACCCCTGTTCTACTCAAACTAGTTATAGTGGTGTGTTTAATAATATAGAAAGAGTTGGATCTCCACCTAAATATCAGAAGTTCATATCACTGACAAAAATAGAATTCAAATTGACTAAGAAAAGTTAAATAGCCACCTATCTCCGGCATTAGTGGGTGTTTACTTCAACCACCTCCCACTGGGCATGAAATCTGTAGGTGTACAAACAAGAGCATCATATAAAATTGCTTAGTAATGTATACAGTCTACACATATCGTCACACATTCTTTAAACAATGTCTAGACTACTTATAACCCAATAAAATGTAAAAGGCTTTTATATATTGTTGGTATGCTGCATCAGTACATAATAATGACCAGGGAAATCCACAGTTTCAGTGCACTTTTCTGGATATTTTCAATGTGCTGTCACTGAGTTGATGTCAAACGTGCAGATACAGAAGAATGACCGTATATACTGTAATAATGCTGGAAGCAAAACAGGATGACATCCAACTATCAGGCCACAGAGAAGTTTACAGTTCCTACAAGTCTTAAAGAAAACTAACAGGTAAAGTAAAAGCCATCTGCTGAGAAGCTGCAGGTATAGTGGTCAAAACCTTGCCTAGCAAATATGAGACACTTGGCTCAATACTAAAACACTGCATTAATAAAAATTAAAAAGCTTGAAAAGGTGACACTGTCTGTAGTCCCAGCACTCTCAGCCTGAGGCAGGAGCAACTCTGTACAAGGCCATGTTAGGATTACATAGTAGAACTGTGTGATAAAACAAAGGGAAAAAATAATCTCCCTCATAATGAGATGACATAATGACATAACAAAGTCATAATTAAAGTATCAGGGATTAAAGTAAAATATTGTGATAAAGTCTATAAAAGGCTTTCTCAACTCAAAGAACTGTAATTAACTGAAAACTCAATGGCAATAGCCTTCTTCAAAAATTAAGCAAATATAAGTTATAGCCAGGAGGCCTCATGTATTCTACCATAAGAATTATGGGGAATTATGGGGAAGTGCAACAATATTCTTTTGCTAACTATATGGAAGGAAGAATAGATATCTCAAGTTGAGTGTGATAGCTTACTCCTGAAATCCAGAACTTAGGAAGCTAAGGCAGGAGGACTGGCCAAGAGTTCTAAGGCAACCTGAACTACATAGAGGGTGCTATTTAAGATTATACTAGTATTAAAATAAACCCAAATAAACAAATTGGGTACAGCTCAGTGATAGATAGAATGTTCACCTAAAATGTAAGAAGTCCTGGATTTGATCTCCAATTCTCTCTCTCTCCTCTCTCTCTCTCTCTCTCTCTCTCTCTCTCTCTCTCTCTCTCTCTCACACACACACACACACACACACACACACACACATACACACAAATAATCTGAAAACATAAAGCAACATTGCGCTAATGCTATATCCAAAGATTCATGGAAATATTTAAAGTGTGGACAAAGATGTACAAGGAAGTTCATTGGAGCACTATTCCTAAGCATGGAAATACCTGACTGTTCACCAACGGAGAAAACGGCCTAGCAGACAGTGACATACTCAGATAGGTAAGTAAGTGACTGAAGAGGCCTGTACCTCTAATGGCATGGAAGACTCTACCACACAGATATCATTAAGTCAGAAGAAATAATTGCAGACACTGGTATTCCCAATTACCACGATACCATAGTGGCCCTGAATTAATTTTAGTTCAGTTATGTAGTTTTTGCCAGTCATGAGGCAAGGCTAGGCCTTCTTATAGATGAAATGATGATGATGATGATGATGATGATGATGATGATACCATCACCCCAGAGTGTTATAAAAATAAGTTGAGATAATCCATGAAATTTCATTTGGTTCAACATGGACAGAGGCACTTTACTAAGGCAGTACTCATGACAGTATTTCTCTAGACACAACTCACTTTAAAAGGAGTTTTTAATATTTCATCTACTATTGCCCTTAATACCCTTTAAGTAAAACTTCACATAGCTAATTTAACATTAGAATACAAACTAGACTGTGAATATTCCTTCTTGTGTCTGGAACAATGAACTGTCATTATCTAACAGGTCATTGCTTGTCACAATTTCTATTTTGTCTGGGACAGGAAGACCCTGAGAGGTGAAGGAAGATTGTGTTAGATAAATATTTCCCCTTCCATCTACATTGTCTTGATTCTTTCAATTTTCTTGTTATAGTTGTACTATTTATGCTTATCTTACTCTGCAAAAACAGGGATAACAATCAAATAATCGGAAATTCCTGCACCATCATGACATTACGGCCCCGCCTTTCCCCTTTCTATAGAACTATCCGGGGTCCCCAGAGTCAACAGCATCAAGATACATATATTTAGTTCAGTCACCTTCACATTGTTCCTGTGTTATTTCACTGAGAAAAGCAAACAAAAGGATGTTTAAATTTAAGGCTTCTTGATTCAGTGCCAAAAAGCAATATTCTATTCCTTGATCAAAGCAAACAAAACATGACCTCATCTCAGCTTCCCAGCAGTGAGGCTTTCAGAATTAACAAGTTTGCAATGATACTAAGCAAGGGCACTTCTGAACCAGCAACCCCAGTCTGTGAAAACTGAATGAGATGAAAATAAATTTCCAACTTAAATCATCTTATTTTCATGTTCAATACTTTGAACAACACTTTTCCAAAACAGCAAAGCTT